AGGCAATTCTACAATTTTTGGGTGGGGGTGCCATATGGAACTCTTTCCTGGCACGGTAACAAACTCTGTAGTGAGAACAAAATACTACGCATAACCACTACTTCTCCTAATAAATCGTGTGTGTGTGTGTGTGTGTGTGTGTGTGTGTGTAGAGAGAGAGAGATACACACACACATACGTCAACCTACATAAATATTACAATACACTTTTGCTATTGTTGACTTGGGAAGTCGATACATGTTTTTTTTAGACAATATTGACCAAAGAGAAAGCCGTCAGAAGGGCTTAGTACGATTCTTTGAACTTGATAGCGAGATTGACGTCACTGTGTACAACGCGCCCGTGGGTGAAAGTGTGAGGCGTGTTCAGCGACTCACATCTCGAACCGTGGACCCTTAGATCCGCAACCCGGAAGCAGCAGAACAACGAACATTGAATGGGGAAATCCAAGACAATTATCAAAATCGTCAGGATTCTTATCTTTAATTAATTTCAATAAATCACAGAGGAAAACTATTTCATTAATAATTTAACCCTCTATTTTCTAGCTATTCTGTAAGAAATACTTTTGATGTAACGGATGTTTAGTCAATCCTAATTATTTTGAACTTTCATACAGTTTGTTAATTCTTAAGGGAGAGAAACTTTTTACATCCTAATTGTTAACTTTCTAGTAATTTCCATTAATCAACAATATAATACACTTGTATATGTACAAGTATTTATAACTAACCACTGGGAGTTTATAATGACATGAAGGAAGAAAAATAGGTGACACAAATTTACTCTGTCTCGTCTATCTTCACACTCATTTTATTAACATTATCTTCATACAGTTCAGGCCTAACTTAAATCCCGGAAGAAACAAAATTCGGAAGGGTTTGTTTCTGAATCTTCGCGCGAAACTACCTAACAGGCTATCTCCGTAGAGCAGTTTCGAACATTGAACTAACGGAGTAAAGAGAAGGCAGTTAATCAACATCATCCACCGCCAGTTCTTGGGCTACTTATTTTGTGGAACTAGGAGCCACGACCGTGAACCCTCCGATTCTAAGTCCGAGCACACTAATCACTAGGCCTCGTCAGGCCCATTCATGTGAAAATTGACGATTAACTTTGCATAAATAGTAACACATAAAATCCGACTTTTCTTTTTGTAAGTATAATACGTCATTTCGAAATATCACCAGAAACCAATACGTTCTTATGACAACACAAATATTAATTATTAATTTTTCTTTTAATTTTACAAAGACCCTTTCTTACATGAATTCAATTCCCCCGGTTATTCTTGGAATGGTTTATTCCTTCAAGTGAAAGAAAGAAAGAGGGGAAAAAAGAACCTTGAACGCGCTCTTTCTTCACAGAGTTAAATTATAAAAATATAAATATTGTTCTATATAATTATGCCTGAGGGTTGTGAACAGAAAAAAAAGCTAGTTTTATTGTCCCAGTAGGGTAAGGAAAACTTTCTCTGTAGACGTTCACCAGTATTCCAGCATCACGTCATCCAGTTTAAAATTAATTCTGCAATCACGTGATTTATAGCACGAGGATGTGTAGGCGTGGTTGTAGTCCTGGCCTGTTTCATCCTAACACAACTGCTTAGTATAAGGGTATGTATACAGGTAGGTATCATACACATACGCAATACTTTGGTTCGTAAGGCATATAGTGTTTGCAAACATTTAACATCACGAACTTTTCTCACAGCTGTTCAAGGCAAATAACAAGTTTAAAAAAAAAACGATTTTGCGAATGATATTCACCAGCCAGTTGTTTCACAAGTTAGCTATTACTGTTCTTTTAATCTTGAAGAAACACCGATAACAAAAATTGTGTAGATAACGCGGTAACAAATACCTACCTTCGTTTAACTCTTCAGTCTGAAACTATCACTAATACAAGTCGCTAATTTTAACTTCATTCAATCGAATGTTCATTATAAATGTCTAATGACAAAGCTCTGAGCTTTCTCGAATAATTTCATCCTTTGGAAACTATTAAAGCTTATCTCTATCCAAAAAACAAATTATTACCTCTTTGTTAATAAAAAAAAAATAAAACACAAACATCTGAAATCAACTCTCCCCTCCCGAATCTGGTAGTTAAGACTGTATTAATAACAAACATTTGCCCTATTAATAGCAATTTCCTGACAATATTTGTATATAATTTAAGGATGAAAATATACTAATAAAGCACTTCGTGGAATCCGTATACCTATTTAAAATATGCTCACACATAAATTACAAAATAGGCTTTATTTTCAAGCTGATAGAAAAACAATTATTAGGTTTAATTTTATCAAATGTTTCCTTTTTGTGTGTTTGTGGGTGGGGGGGGGGGGTCGGAGATAAAACTGGTTTTCTTATCTGCACTAAAAATAAGATACACGTTTAAAGCACAAGTTAATAGGGTACAACTGTAAACATGTACTAACCAGTTTTTATAGGGGTTCTTAAGCATTGCTTACTTGATAACCGTCTCCCCATTCAACAAGAAAAATTTAATTCTATATACAGGGGTGTAACGAGTATGGTTATGTGCCCGTAACGTTACCAGTCTCATTTATTAATTTTTATAATAACGCTTCCACATCAACCGCTATTACATTTGCTAATTTCTTATTTCATTTTATGGTTTGATATTTTATTGTCATGAAAACATGCAACATTAACGCTTTATTTTTTTGGTGGTCTGATACTTTATTGTCATAAAAGTATGCAACATTAACGCTAGGTTTTTTTTGGGTGGTCTGATACTTTATTGTCATGACAACATGTAACATTAACGCTTTATTTTTTGGTGGTATGGTACTTTGTCATGAAAGCATGTTAAATTAACGCTAGGTTTTTGGGTGGTGTGCTTCAGAAAATACCGATACAAATTTTAAACATTCTCAAACATTGTTTATATGTTACTAGCAGACAGTTTGTTATTGCAACATGGCCTGCCAAACAGAACGGATGACTATTCATATTACATGGTACACTGCTTTAAACACGTCCAAAAACATAAAACGTCGCTAATTAAAATTGATCTTCACGTAATTAGAGATGCAGACGAGCCAGCAGTTTTTTTTCTGTTTCATGGATTTGATGTTCTTCTCATGGTCTCACTTAAATTTGCTCCAAGAATCCTGGAAAATGAACTTATTCAGCAATCGGTGGAGTCATCTGCTTTCAGAGTATAATATTCTTAACAGGGTTGAAAAATGTCTGAATTTTCCAGACTCACTACATGTGTGTTTGTGTGTGTGTATTTATTTATTTATTTCTTATTTTGTATAGTTCCCTGAGTAAACTTTATGCTCCTAGATTCCATCTTTTTAAACAATTTCGTGGAAGTATGTCCAAGTAAACAGTATTATCTTGATACTCTCCCAATCAGGAGTCTGCTTCTGGATCCTATTTTTTCCTTAAGCCTTTTCTGAAATCTATCTGAACACATAATTTTAATTGCTGTTGCAAAATTTGAAAAAACCAAGTATTTCAAATTTTTGTTTTATAATATCCAGAAGTAAAAAATTTAAATTTTAAATGCCACAAGGATAATTTTTATATTTCATTAGATAAAAAAGTTCAAATAATTGAATGGGTTTTTAAAATAAATTGGGGAAGAATAAATCAGAAAATATCAACTCTGATTTGACCCTAAAATATTTTCCATAGGTTTTCGCAAGATCTTAATTGCTTGTTAAAATAAGCACATTAAGATGATTTTTTTTACATTTATTTAATGATAGGAAATTTTACCTGCATGTTATTTTTAAAAGTTTACATAAGTTTAAAATGAAATTTCAAATTAAATGAAGGTAAGGAAGTAAAGGCAAAAATACTGGTAAAAGAGAGCTTTAAGTTTCCTTGTTTTTCTTTTTCGTTACATGTTTAAGATGTGTAATAAATACTCATCAAATAAAATGTGTGAGCACTTTTAAAGTTTTATTTCAAACTGTAAGGCTCTTTTTTTTTTTTGTTCAGAACAAGCTTGTCACAAATTGCTTATTTTTAATTTTTTAATACTGTATTTTCTTCACCCATAAAGAACTGGTTATTTTAATGTTTGTATTGCCTATGCAAAATGAATTACTAATTTATAACACAATTGAAATTAATTATGTTTGGGCAAAAATAGTATTGGTGGAACAGTGAAAGATTTAACATGATGATCGCTAGTGACTAATATTATTACTATATGTGAATTCTTTGTTTTTACAATAAAATAAAATACTCAGCTTAACTCATAATAATTAAATCTGTGTTACACTAAACTTTAAAAATAAAATAGCACACACCCAGACCAAGTGTGGTACTACTACTAGTTAGTAGCGAGTACTCCTCTACACTACGTAGCAAATATTTCAAGATATTACTTAATACATTAGGTATACACTAATATTATTAATTAATCTGCACTTGCACTAAGTGTAAGACATGCTTAACTTAACGTTACTAGTATTAAGTTAGTATTGTTACCAATTGGTACCATATACTCAAAACCAGGGAGAAGGAACACTTATATTTTGCCCGCCAGTCTTCTTTACCCTTGCTTCTCCCATTTTTAAACAAAATTAGGCGCCTATGATTACTAGCTCTACTAAGTAGTACTAGTACTACTGCTAGTGCTGCTGTAGCATTTATTCTATTAACACTGTAACAGTCAAAATGTGTTACTTTATAAACTATAAAGTTTATTAGGTTATAACTTCTTACCCATTTTCCTTTGTCCTTGAATACGAAACGACAAAAAAACACTAAAGTCGAATAATAACCATACTGATAATTTAGTAATATCAAAACTTCACTAGAAGCGTATTATCCATTCATGGTTAATTTATAATTCCACGAATTGAACAACCTGCACTGACTGTACTACACAGGCCGAAGCCACTTTCCTCCTCACTTTCCACACAACCGTAGATCGTCGTACCGTGCTGCTAACTAGACAACAGCAGGGAGCGTCCAATCAATCTGTCTGGGGTACTAAAAGACGTGATGCGGCTTATAAAAAAACGAAAATATATAACATATAACAACATTTAAGGACGAAAATGTACCTTTTGGTCCATCGAGATTGTCTCATCCATTAAAATAAACTAAACGTTAAAATAATAACAATAAACACTCCAAAGCTAACCCAACCTTTATAGTGTAAATAGTTATCAAGCATTCATTTAAATTTATTGCATATATAACACCTGAAAACAACCCCATTCAAAGGTCAACTATCCTGTTAGAAAAATAAAACTGTTTTATATGAAGAAGACTCCCACCCTGTCAAAATTTATATTTGTGTCTCCTTTTCCTACCATTCTCACTACCAAGTACGAAAAAAAAATGATGCATCGACACTATCCATTCCATTAACAATCTTAACCTCCTCAATCAGATCCCCTGTAACTCTTCTTTTTCTCAAAATTAGGAATCGTAACCTGTTATCGTGTGACAACCTCTCCATCTCAAATATCATCGAATAAGCCTCCATTTTAACCATTTCCAATAATTCAATATATTTCTTATAGTAAGAAGCAAAAGGTTGAACTCAATACTCCAAATGGGGTTTCATTTACAATATTGTTTTCAATATTTCGCTATTAGAATATTACCTGGTTTAAAAATCACGAAATATTAAATGATATAAATATTATAGGAACAAATTTAAAATTTGTTTATTTTGTAAGGAATCATCAAAGAAATATCCCACTTTTATTTTCAGACCAAAGCCTTAGTGCAGTATCCCAAAATGAATTACTTTCCATGCTTCAACAAATACTTTACATACAATTCTAAACCATCCCAAGCCAGTTTGCACAAACCTCAATTTATAATTATTGTATGGAAATAATAGTATATTACGAACGACAAACGTTCTCCTTAGGCAAAAGGATAAACTTAACTAGATTCTAAAACTTTTAAAACTCCATTATGATGAACTTATTCAAAAATCGAACATTATATAACATATAATTAGATAAAAGCACTAAAACCGATGATGACTTTTAAGTACTTATAGATATTGGATAAAGGTCCGTTTTTTATTATATTTTTCAATTTCTTCGAGTAGTTAAGCTTGTTCAAGCTGAACTAAATAAGATGTCAGCTCTAGAAAAACATTAATGTTTTTAACTGAAATAAACATTAAGCCAAATTTCAGAACAAAAAAATGTTTAAATTTTAATCGAAACCATTCAAAACAATCTAGACATTATAGTTATTACTAAAGTTCATTTAAATTATCAAAGCCTTCTGATTTTGAACAGTACTATTTATCATTTTGAACAAAATTTTAAATCTAATGCAGTTCAATGTTTTAGAATTATCTTAAAAGATAAATATGCATATAAGTTACTTAAGTGATGCAATTCCAAAATGTAATTATTTCAAGTGCAAAGCTGCAAATGAACTATCTTCACTGTGCCCATCACAAGTAACAAACTCCATATTTTTAACGTTATAACCCCTCGAGCTTACCGCTGAGCCACCTGGAGGAGGGGAGGATAAACGTTTTAAAGAGTATTAGACTAAGGCCGATCTCCTGATCAAACCATTTCCTCTGTCTTCTTGTTCTCCTTACTATATATGAAAAACGCACTTGACCACACTTCAATATTAGTAGCGGCATTTAACTTTGTGGCATCAATGCTCACTGATCTTCTATCTGTTTTTATAATTATTGCTACGAATAAATAGATTATATGCTCTCATACATATAACTTTAAGTCGTTTTCACTTGATAAAACGATTCCAAAATTCCAGCCAGCTCTTCGAAATTTATTTATTCTGTAAGTACTTTTGGTTTTGGCTCTGAAGATAGACTGAATATAAATAAAGTTTATATTTCTGTCATAAGTAATTGTAAGCATGTGCTAAACCTGTTAGTTACTAATAGTAGGTAAATACAATGCAATGTAATCAGAAATAAAGTTTAAATCCACACACACGCTCTCACACAGATTAATTATCATATCAGTTAAATAGTGGGAGTAAAACGTCGAAAGTAGAGAAACAAGTAGGATTTTTATGGCTAACAAAAGTATTTTAATTACGCATGAGAATATATTTTTTTCTCAATTTCATATTCCTCTCATGTTAAATAATATGTAGATAGACTTAATTAAGCCTAGTATAACAAAAAATAATCTTAGTTGAACGCATTGTCGCTGATATTTTAAATTAAAAGAAATGATGTAAACGGTCACAATATCAAATACGATTCAGGTTTTTAAAACTTATTAGGTTCGAGTTTTGATAACTTGAGTCCAATGACGTTGTATAGAAATTAAAATTAATCATGTTCGTGCAGGTCTGATAAACTTTTTTTCTTCATAGTTCCAGTGCCGGTACAGTAGTATAGAGAGCTTGATACCAGTAGTACTAACAGTAATACCGTTACAAATTATTTTTCAAACTCATAACATGGAAATAATATTAATGAAATGGCTTCACGAACTTTTACCCATGTTTTAGTGTATACGCCTTTTACAAGCCGGGAAAGAATTATTTCAGTTATACATGTTATTAACCTATGTTTTGATATTTACAATGTTTTCGCACCAGAGTACCAGAGACTTCGACAAGCGAGCTTTCATATATTTCCGTAATTTACTTCTGATGAGTTCCGGTATTGAATGAAAGGCTTCCTGCGCAATGATTTGTGGCAGCCAAAATATCGGAATGTCATTTTTTTACAAACCTCTAATAAAAAATCTGTAAAAGAATAATTATGAGTAATGTGAAGAAAAAAACATCGCAGTCAAGATCGCTTATACACATTTGTTAGGCCTAATAAAAACTTATTTTTTATAAATTGTCCAGTATTTTTTATAAAATCGTTGCCGCACACTAGAGCACGTTTCAGTGTTTATACTGTTACCTGGTAACGTGTGCTCACAACGTCCTATTGGTATTGGTAAAACAATTTATATTTTGTACGCGAAGATCCCACTCGGCCAGAAAAGCATGCTATTATTCAATTTCATAATTCTTGAAAATCTATATGGAAAGATGAAGAATGTAGTGTTTAAAATTTAATAGGCCTAATACTAATACTTTATGACGAATGTAACTAATTATTAATCGCCAGCTCATAAAAGGCTTACACATCATAACAGCTGTTGTATCAAATGTTATTGCATAATACTTTCATGTTTTTATTTCTTGTGTAATTTCGTATTTGTTTTGTTTTGTGTATACATTGCTGAGTCGTATATTATTTATGAGGCTTCTTATAGAGAATACATGATTTAGGAATAAAGTAAATATGAACTGGGCGAAACGCTTAATCGGCATTGGATCACTGGATGTGACAAATAGTGTAGTTAGCCTACTAATGTTAATATTATACACCAAATTCAAATAAAGGAAGCTATTGTAACATGAAAATTAAAGTTTTGATTATGGATAAAACAAGTAAAATGTTTTTTAAAACTTTTAGTTTCAAAGAACAGTACGTTTATTTAGGTTTAACTACATCATCAGATGGATACAATTACTTATTAAGTTGTTTTATCCATAAACAAAACTTTTAATATTATACACTGTACTAATACTTCAAAATTCCTAACTAAGGGACTAGATAAAGAAAGTAGTGTTTAAAAATTTAATAAGCCTAATACTTATGTCTTGTGACAAGTGTAACTGTGAAGCTTATTTGTTGAAAACTGGTACTGAGGCTAAACATTTTTTGAAATATAAAACTAAACAATAATAATAATATGTTAATCCATTTACTAATAGTAGTAGTCGCTTTTTGTATTGCAAAAGGAGAGCTGAATTACAGGGATTTAAGCTAATCTAAATTAAGCTATAAATTGAATAAATATACTTTTATATGGGAAGACAAAAACAACATTTTGACAAGTGTTTGAGAATTGTATATGAAATTATAAATATTTAAGTAAACCATTCTTATAAGCAGCTGAAATATCATTGGTGTATTTTCTCAAGTAAAAATAAATTCCCCTAAGAATGACAAAACAGGCCCACTTAATAACAGGAAATTTGTGAAATAACTGTATGTTCTGTGACTGACTGCACTCCTGAGAAATAAAATGACTGAATACAAAAGTACAATTATAATAAACAAAGCTCTGAATTTACTTTAATCTAAGTTTGAAAGTTTAAATTGAGTGATCTCCTGCTTCAGGCTATATATGTATATATATATATCGAAATTGTGTTCGATACTCACATGACTGGTAATCCCCAATGAAATATGAGAGAGGTAATTACCTCAAAAGGTCACCTGACTGCCACTGGAAAAGATACCTGGTATATATATCTATACAAAATTACTTACTTCTGCTGCCAGACTTGATCATAATTCTGTACATATTTGCATGCTACTCTTACTAACATTATGGTAACAGCTATTTTTCTTATATTATCAGTTGCGTCAAACTGAGTAAGATGGTAACAGACAAACATAGGAGTAATTGCTTGTCATTTGCACTTGTGTATTTAAAATGGTGGAGCTCATGCAAAGCATTTATTGTGTTATAATGAATGGGTACATAATTACAGCCTACCCTGTATATCTCACAGATATTTGATTTGTGCATTGCACCGTATTTAGCCATTCTAAACTTCCCATAATTTTTCTTTTAGGAAAAAACTTCGGGTGTGTTATAATTTGAAATACTTTTAAAAATTTAGCTTCCATGGTTAATTGAAGAAATACATGTAAAAAAGTGGTAAGTATTTTCTCAAAAGAAATAATTTGTGACATCCGCAGATGTAACATTATGAAATGTGTAATTATTGCATTACCGACCAAAAAATTTTTACAAGCAGTTTTTGTAGGTAACAGATCCTTCTTTGAGAAACATTTTTTAACATAAATTTTAGGATGATGGAAATGAAAATAGGTATTTATAGAACAATAAGTAAAAATATCAAATATGCCAGTTTATGGCAGACGTTTTGATAAAGAAATTCTTTCGTGTGTGTCATTTTTGCCATGAATAAATTTTGATTTAGTATTAATAGTAGCTGTATATCATGAGGTTGGTAAAATTTTATCTGTTGTTTTTTCTTTTGGTAAAGAACAACTTTCGAAGGAAGAATCTCCAAATCTTGAAGACTGACAGAAATATGAATTATCAAGTAATTTTTACTACTTCTCATAAACTATCTTTAATTACCAATTACAGTATTAAAGTTTCATTAGGATAGATGCATGTTAAAAGTGTGAAGGTTCATAACAATAGCAGTTCTGAATTTTGTTCCAATTTTAGGGTATTTTTAGCAAATAGTTAAGTTACCTCAAATTTTATTGTTCTTTGCCTGTTTTTTTGTAATCAATAAAAAACTCACGATTATTTAAACTTTCTTAAAAATTGGTATCTGGGTCACAAACACAACAAGAAGTAATAACTCATGTTTAAATCGGTATTAAATATATAAAGTACAATTGAGAAACAAGTATTTCAATAAGTAATCAATATACAAACTTATGTAATAATTTTTAAAGCAGATTATTTTAAAAACTTTCATCCTTGTTCAAACTTCTGCTCTGTTGTGTAATTTTCACCACCAGGGACATCAATAATACAACAAATTAAATTATTAAAATTATCACATATATATATATATACCATACTATAAATTTGTTAAATTTCCCATTTAGAGACACAAAGATAGTGTGTGTAGATGATAATAAGCATGGAATTAATCTTCGTTAAACTGCTACCAGGGAAACAGGAACCCAATACCATTAGTGAAAGTAAAGACACAATGTAGTTTCCAGTTCCACAATTATATTTAGCTAGTAAAACAAAAAACATTAATTTTCATATTACATTTAACTAGTGAGAGGAATACAGATAACCTCATTCTTTACAAGTAGATTCAGTCAAGCATAATAATTTGTCAAACTTAACTCTTAATCTTTAAAAATTCTTCTTTGTGTTACAAAATTCTTTATTTGTGTTTTGATAACATATTATTAAGAAATACGAACAAAGCTGAATTATTAGAGCACTTTACTTTAAAAAAAACTTCAAAACGATATAAAAAAATTGATAAAATCTTCAAGGAAAACATGAACTAGTTCAGGGAAGACATAACTTAAAACAGAAATGTGTATGATTCTCCTTTTTTCTCCCTTTCAATTTTTTACCATTCTTTAGTATAATTCGTTTTTAATGTGCTTATTTTGATTGGCCTGTAGAAACTTTATGTGTATATAGCCCACACAAATAAAAACATTACAAACACTTCATTAACCCACACATTCTCTTTAATGTGCAGTTATATGGCAATACAATCAACATACATAAATCAGCAAGCTATTTTCATCTATACAGATAAAATTTATAAATACCATAATATCAGGTACATGCCATGAAATAACGTAATATTAAGCTTCTTAAAACTGTTTGAAAAATTAACAGGTGTATTTGATATTTATGACAAAACTAATAAGACTATTTACTGTTGTCACTAGAGGGTAGGTAGCCAGTCAACAGCACCCTACCACCCACAATTCATGCTAAGTGATTGGCTCTCACTCTTATAAAGCACCCACAGATGAAATTGTGGGGTATATTTTGCGGTATCTACACAGATTCAAACCGAGCTCACCAGCTCCGAAATCTAGAGCTGTATCACATGAAGTTGAGTCCTTATTACTGTGTTTCAAATATTTACCACTAGGTGAAACTATTCACACATAATAACCATGGCTCAGAGAAGTTTTTTGACATAAAAATAGCATGTTGCAGCAACAAACATTAACTCTAATTGAAAAGAAATACTCAAGTGATATAGACATGGTTCCAACTCATTGTACTTGAAACTAACTTTTGTTATCATGTTAGCATTGCTAAGCAACATTTCTTTACCATTGATTAGACTTCTTTTAAATGAAATGACATTCAACAGTTGTCAAAAATAGTGTTTGCTTGGGGACGGGGACTTCCGAGTAGCTTTTGGGTGGTCATAAATGAAAATCTTAGGTAAATACAAAAGAACACACTCATTCTGACAGATTTTAACTGAAAAATTTGATTGAATTTAAAACACCACCAAAAAGGAGGTTTCAATGTAAAACAACCCAATCATAATTTTCTCAGTAATTTTTATAATTGGGTTTCTGTCTGTTTTTACAACTGCATATACCAAACAGAATGTCACAAGAGGGATTTAAAATTATCATAACAGCATATTATGGACCAAGACATTAAAAGTTATTGTTATGGTATTATATGAAAGTAATATATATATATATATGAAACTGTGGTATATAAATACACCGTACATTTCTATCTTCCCATTTTAATGTAGCGTTATTGTAAACTTATCAGTTATTCTGAGTATATGCAATTTTTCCATAACATTTGCTGAAGAAAATTGTTAAGTTTATTCATTCTATCTGCTTTTCTTCCCTTGTTATTCTGTTGAGATTACACCTGTTCTGTCCATGGAGTTTATGGTAGTAAATGTTGCATGTTATGCAAGAATGTAGACATTAGTGTCCTCCAATGGTAGGTTCAAGTGGTATCTTGAGGCTATGGCCTCACCTATGCTTGAATGAAACTGATCACTCACGTGGATAGCATTAATAGCTCTGAGTAGATCTGTCATTACCTGCAAAGTAAGGAATGTTGAATTTACAGTCTGGTAGACGATTTTGGCCTGATCAATTTGAGAGAATAAGTTAAATCCAGTACAAACAACAGTCCATTGTCCAAGGCAAGTACATACATTGTGTTAGTGAATAAATATTGTTTACTAGTATTTTACACTGCATCCATTTTCTTTACTTCATTCTCATAAACTCAGAGATTCAGTTGTAATTCATAATAAATATCTTTGTGAATCTTGCGTTATTAAGTGGATGTATCTCTCTGCTTTAAGGTTAATTCCGTTTTACCTGAATCCACACAACTTCCGAGGCATTTCTGAATTAGAAATGTATTAAATATAATTATATCAAAATGTATTTACGTTTCCTGATGGGGTTTAATTATTATCTATGACACTAAATCAGTTCTAATTAATAATGATTTTTAATAAGAGAATGTTCAAGTTAAGAAATGTCAAACTAAAACATTTATGAGAAATATATATAAAAATGTAAGAAAGTAAGAACCTAGAAAAAAACATTACAGACACAGCCTTGAAGATACACTAAGTTAGCTTATTAACTGTGGTACTGTTTGTCAGCTTCATAAGTTGAAAACTTTAATTAATTTTATGTCAGGCAGAAGCATTTAAACCCAGCGAAGTTAACTCTCGTTATCCATCTATTGTTTACATGTGTTGGTGATGTTTACCTGTATTGTTATGATTACAGCAACACTGAAAATTAATTTCATTACAATCATTATGCAAGTTTACATTCATTGTAAAGTTAACATTATTTTTGGAATAAGAAGTTTTCATAGCCCATATCAAAATATTATTAGCTCCAATATTGTTTTTTGATAAATCTCTCTGTAAAATTGCATTAAACTACCATTGGAGAAAGTAATACATTAAGAGCAAGTAAATAGATAGTATCATTTTGATTTATTCTAAAAATGTTAGGTGTAGTGTGACTTATGTAATTTTCATAAATTCCAGGGAAGTTCAAGAAATAGTTCTAAAAGTGTGATTTCTGAATACAATTATACAGAATGTTTGGCTCAAATAGAAAAGGAGTTGACAAAGTTGGAAGATTCCATTACAGAGAAACTAGGCACGTCTTCATTCACATGGAATATCTTCAAGATACCAAGAAATCGTACAGGAACAAAAATTAAGATGAATCACAAAATAAGAAACCCCATAACCCAAGTGCTTTCAAAAGGTAGACCATCCTATTGCAGGGCCAAATTCTATTTCACCCCCAAATAAGGAAAGTCAACCTGTTCAAAACTTCCTTTTGTAGGGCCAAATTCTATTTCACCCCCAAATAAGGAAAGTCAACCTGGTCAAAGCTTCCTTTTTGCTGGGCCAAATTCTATTTCACCCCCAAATAAGGAAAGTCAACCTGTTCAAAGCTTCCTTTTGTAGGGCCAAATTCTATTTCACCTCCAAATAAGGAAAGTCAACCTGTTCAAAGCTTCTTTTGCAAGGCCAAATTCTATTTAACCCTCAAATAAGGATAGTCAACCTGTTCAAAGCTTCCTTCTGTAGGGCCAAATTCTATTTCATCCCCAAATAAGGAAAGTCCACGTTTTGCAAGGATGAATTCTACTTCATCCCCAAATAAGGATAGTCAACCTGTTCAAAGCTTCCTTTTGTGCTGCCAAATTCTATTTCACCCCCAAATAAGGATAGTCAACCTGTTCAAAGCTTCATTTTATAGGGCTAAATTCTATTTCACCCCCCAAATAAAGAAAGTCAACCCGTTCAAAGCTTCCTTTTGCAAGGCCAAATTCTATTTAACCCTCAAATAAGGATAGTCAACCTGTTCAAAGCTTCCTTCTGTAGGGCCAAATTTTATTTCATCCCCGAATAAGGAAAGTCCACCTTTTGCAAGCCTCTTTTTGCAAGGATGAATTCTACTTCACCCCCTAAACAAGCGAAGTCCACATTTTGAAAGCTTCCTTTTCAGGAACAAATTCTTCTTCATTTCCAAAGAAGCACTTTGGTTATCGGGTTTATTGTTTTGTGATTCATATTGAGTACGTGTAATCCATAAGTAAATATTAACATTTTAGTTGTAAAGAAAGTAAAGTGTTTGGTTATACATGATATATTTACCAGAAATAGAAAGCTAAGCTACATGTGTAGGTCAACTTACGACATAGGTGGTAAAAATTGTGCTTTGATATATATAATGCTTGAGCTGGTAAAACACGATTGGTAATTGATTAATATTAAAATTTGCGTTTTCACAAAACATTTATAATGTCTTTGGTGATACACTATTGAAACAGCTACTGACACTGTAATAGCTTGTTTACATTGTTTTAAAGTTTACTATCACTATTCTGTTAAAAAGCAAAATTCAGGAGTCTTTATTATTTGAAAGATGGGAATTTTTCACATTTGATAAACAAATCTCAAATTGATACCATAATCTGTCCATTTTTATTATTAGCCTTTAATATGTTTCTAATCTGAAAATTTATTTGTGAGTTTCTGTTGTTTTCTTTTACAGTGGAATGTGCACTACTAGAGATTGAACTTGTGATGAATCTAACTCCACCAGAATTCACTGATGTCCATCAAATCTCACGAGTAGAGTCCGATTCTGCTGAACAAATAAAACAAACAGAAGATAAAATAAAATGCCTTATTCCTGTAGATACTGACTTTAAATCCTAATAATACTTGTCTATCTTTAAAGAACCTATAGAAGGCATTGCATTTAGAAATATTTTAAAATACATATTTAATTTACTAATATTACAGATTTACACTCTTTTACATAATTATTTGAATTGTTTAAAGTTATTGAAAAATGTCTGCTTACTTTAATTTCTTGAAAAAAAAAATTCATCTGAAGATTCATGATCAATAAAAATTTATTTATTTACTATATTTATTATTACTATGTTCGGCAGCAGCAACTGTAGTTAATGTAAACTTCGTCAGCATCTGATTATAGTTTTCTCCATAATTTTGAAAATATCCAACAGAAATTATTTTGAAACAAACAATTCAGTATCTGAAACATAAGTCATCCTATCCTCAATTCTTTATCACTTTCAAAAAATATAGTTGTGACACAATCTTCACTCACACCTTCTAAAATGAATCTCTGAAATCCTTCAGGTCAGGTTTTATCGCATTCTCAGGTATCTGTCACAACAATTGTCAGTGTAGCTGGGGAGTGTCTCATCTCTCTTCTGTATAAATATTAAATTGTACTTATTCTAGGTTATGTTTCTAATTTACTGAGCTGTAAACTACTGCAATACGGTGCAAGTTACAAAAAATAAAGCATTAAAATACTGACCCACCCACCCCCAAGTAAGTTTTAATCTCTTTGTACACAGCTTCTCTACAATATAAAGCTTTCATTTCATCTATAAATAATGTGATATGCGAGATTGTCAAATGTTTCCCAGATTACCTAAGCCAATTTTTTATATTGTTTTATCAGATATTTTATTACAAAAACAGATTGTATGTATACCATTTATTACAAATTAAAAAACAACGGCTATAATAGGTATTTCTAAAACAAAATTGAAAAGTTTGCAAAATTCGTTAAGTGCATTTTTTTTCGCACCTCTATCACCTTGAATGTATAGCCTTACTGCTTGAGTGATAAATATTTTTATGGTAATTAAGAACTTTATAACATTTACATATCACCAGTGATAAGACCCTAATACTGCAAAAGAACTATATTTGTTTTATAAGAAAAAGTTTAATAATAATTTCAACTAAGAAAAATGTGAACTCTTTTAATGATCACTAACTATGTTGAACTTTGATGTGCCAAGTTCTTAATAATTTGTGTGTATCATTAAAGAGGCGAGTTTTTCATTAACACAGATTTTATTTTGAATCAAAAAATACAAACATAATAAATCAAAAAATACAAACACAAATGTATAAACTGAGATAAACAGTACTGTAAAAAATAGATATTAATAATCACTATTAAAAAACTTTCATATAAACTTCATAAACATTTCATACCTATTAGTACAAAAAGTATTCTTGAATATAAAGTTAGTCTGCTTGATTAATTAGTACAATACTTTCCATTGAAACAATCTCACTTAACATAAACGTATCCCTTTATTTTAGAAAATGTTATACGATTTACATGTACTTGAATGTACAACACATTGTCATCTTTAAAGCATTAAACATACACTAAAATAAAGATCCTAGTATTTAAAATGTCATAAGTATTTATGCTACGGTACTATCCAAGCTAACTTTAGACAGCTTCTGTTAAACTACATCTTAGTCGCTTGTTGCAGGACAGAAGATGTAGCTTTGACTTCAGTTTTGTTTTTTATTTAATTAAGGCCAGTTATATTTGGCTCTAAATTGAGCTTTTATGCTTCCTTAGGTGATAAACACCTATTACCTATCTAGTTGTAGCAGGATTCCATGAGTCAGGGGAAAAAAACTGCCAAAATTCTTGTTAGGGTACTTGCAAGGTATGCAGATAATCTAGACAAGGATTAGGAAATACTGACCAGCTGTAAAAAAGTTTATATTTGTACAAATAAATTTTAAGTCAAAGATGTTACATCTCTCCACTTGTGAAATATTTGCCAATCAATCAACTTTAAATCACCCACATGTATACATACATGCATGCCCTTCATAGTAATTCTTATAGCAATGAAAACTCGCAATAATCGTACAGTACAGAAAAAAAAATTATATATATATATTATATACATATTATTTTGTAGTATTTGTTTAATAACAGTCTTCCTTACTATGATAACTAAACAGAACCAAAATTAACTTTGTTGTCTTTGCTTGAAAGCTATTATTAACATCCCCCTTGTCTTGGAGCCAGAACCAGAAGAGAAGAGCAATGTAAGAATAGATTCACGAGATTCTTCTTCCAAACTGTATCTAATGTTCAATAGGGTCCTAAACAAACTATGCATTCTAAGGCACGAGACTGTATTGAAAGACACAACTGGTAGTGATACTGTTAGGGCAAACAGTTTTTTTTTCAACATTATTCTTTCCTTTCTTCCAATAGGTGGCATACAAAATTAGTTGAAAAAGTCAGCCACAAATAACAGGACATAGATGATATAAAATGTGATGGTAATATGTCAAGTTTTTTAAGATGAGCAACACTAGGCAAGAATAGTTCTTGCCAGTCATACTTTAACAAGAAACTTATTAAAAACACCTGAAAAATGGTGAAAAAAAAATTCCATCTTTCTCCTTTAGAAAACTGTGTAACAACAGTGGCAATGATACTAAAGTTGACCACAAGTTCGAATTTTGAGGACCCAGGTGTGTTGAGATCATTGGGTCAGAGAGTTCTGCAATGAGGGAGCCACCCAGGCTTCATCATATGACAGTGCTACAAACATAACCTCAAAAGGAAAATGCAATATCAGAACAATCACCTCAAAAGGTACAGAACAAGCACCCAATAAATCAATATGCAGAACATTATGACAAAGAATCCTCTCATAGTGTCCAAGTTGTCCTTGCATATTGAACTAGACCATCTTCATGAAGTTCATCACAGATGTTTTTGATACTGCCAACACCAGATAAAAACTGGTAAACACAGATGTCAAGGGCCATGCCAACCATCTCTCCCTAAAGGCAGTGGGTATGGGGTTTGCAGCTAATATTGCTGCCAGTGAAAGAGTTAAAAAGTGTTCCGCAGGAGTTTCAAACTGGGCGTGTGTAGCTGCTTTGTAATCTTGCTACCACGATTGTGGAACAACCTCTAATGAATTATTATCTATTTAAATATTTCAATAATAACCCGTCTACACCCTAGGGTCACGATAAATGATTAAACCAAAATTTAAAGTCATTCTCAACAAGCAGCTGAAGGAATAAACAGCAACGTGACAAGTGGACAGAGATTACAGGGTGGAATTTGAAACGTAAGCTGAATAATGATGACACCTTTCTTTCCTACTTAAAAATGAAACTAAAACCTGAAAGAACTACTCTATCAATAAAGACACTTGTTACACATATGGAAGAAGAAACTAAAGACTGCAGACCTGGTGTGTGGTGTTGCAAGTTCTATGTACATCAATTTTGTAGTTTCACAGAGGTATTTTATTTTCTAAGTGCAACTAATCTATCGGAGAGAACTCTTATTATATCTTGTTTTGATCATTTCACTTAGTGCAGCATGGATAAGATATGACCAACAAATAAAAAGAGGCAGAAACAAACAAACAATATTAATAAAAGGAAATTTATGAAAATCCTAGCATAAACCAGGAAGAAAGAAAGTTCTAGCTGAAAGTGAGCAACAATTAGATAAGATGCAGATTACTTGTCTCTAGAAGCAAAGGGCAAAGGAGACTTGACCTTTTCCAAGTCCAATGCCTTCAGAACAAGAGCAGCAGAAATCTAAGTCAACATTAAATGTGAAGTTACAATGAAAGTTTACAACAGATGTGATAACATTACCTAGGTGGCATGTAATGATGATGGTGAGTGTGTGTGTGTGTGTGTGTGTTTTTGCAATGGCTAATCCTAACAGAGTAACATGTAGAATTATTCTAAGAATAATTCAACTTGGATATTTTAAATCTTCCACTAACTGCATATTTCATTTATAACAAGAACAGGAAATCTAAATAACAAAGCAGAATGGGAGACAAGTAGTTGTATTCTTGCTTTACATTTACTTGGTTTCACACGTGGACTGCAGTATCTATCTCATAAATTATTAATAACTAGCAGAGACCCGCAAAATGTTTGAGGTAAAATTTGTATCTTTATTACAACAGTACTTTTTTAAATACGTGATTTCTAGAATAATACAAAAGAATTCTAATCACAGACACCAAAACTGACAAGTCCACTTGTTTTAGGCCTAACATCAGTTAAGCCTTTATTAAAGTATAGTCTATATTCATTCAAGAGGTAATTTAACACTTTAATGTGTATGTTTATTGCTTTAGTGTACTAAACTATACTGTATTTAATACTAACAATAAATAAACTTATAATACTATTCTACAACCTAATGTTAGATCTTTTTAAAAACTTTGATAAGCTTTTAATATGTTGTTGTACAAAATGTCTACTAAAGTATATTAACATCTGCCTTTTTTTTTTTTATCCAATGCACATTTAAATAGTAAGGTGTGCAGGGATTTTCAAGACAGACAAAAACCGAGTATTATTATAACAGAATTTATTCCTGCTGTTACATTTTCTGCATTTCTTTTATTAGAATGAAGCCTTTTTTTTTTTATTAAAAAGAAATATACAAAAATGAAGACCTTTAAAGCTTTCAGAATTAATGGGAGGATTGGATGAGTGTAAATGGAGGTTATTAATATTCACCTTTTTTTTTTTTCTAGTCACAGCATATTGACTCGTAGAATAACTCAATTTTTCAAGTACAATCTTAACTCATAACTCTGGACTGATTTGAGATCCAATTACAGTTTTAAATTCACGAGGTCAAACCCCAAATCCTGCCTAAAAAGAATTTCAATTTAAGGATAAGCTTCTAGAGATCTTGACGAGTAATAAAATCAACTTAGTTATATGCAAACCCCACACTTCTGGTGCACAGAAATATAGCTAATAAGAAGGGAAAAAAAAGGTCCCGTAGATTAACGAAATTCTTTTAGGCAAGATTAGAATACAACTGCTGCAGCTATTGAGGATTCCCTCTTGTTTAAGCCTATGATTTGAAGTAGATCATAGAGATTTAGAGAATGGTCAGGGAATGTTTTTAAATAGAAATCCTAACAGCACTGTTTCTAAATTTAAACTTTTTATTTTTTGAAATCTGAAGTTTGTCTTTTAAAACCTCAGACAGGACAAGTTTGTCTGGAGAAATATATTAACTAGACAGTCCAATCTTGAACACTTTCCAATATGATTGCTCACAAATTTTATGAACTGAACCAGTGTGTACAAACTTTTACTTTTGTTTACCTTTGGAAATAAAATAAAAGGTAATTAAAGAAAATCTATTTATTAAAAATGAGTAAAATGATTTTGAATAAGCAAGTCAGACAACATCCACAGCCGATATAAAATGGAAACAGAAAAGAATGTACAGAGCTACATTTGAATATTGTTTGACATTTCTTAGCTAGCATGATGCCACCAAAAACTAATCAGTTTTTATTAAGAGTTATGAAACAGCAGCTGAAGAATGAAAATAGGTATTCATGATATATTCACATAAAGACCTACTAGTCAAAGTCACCAAACACAGTGCCTATGGACTTATTTACAACAGGACTGCCGAAATAAGAGCTGGGAAACAGTCATTCTCGTACACGGGATGGCTTATGGGAAACACTGTAGAGAGGAGGGTTGTGCTTTGGACAAGACAATTTTAAGATGGAGCTTTTTGCAATGGAAACCACACTGCAGGACTATTGTCAAGATTCACAGTTGTTAAATGAAGCATGACTGCATGTACCATCATCAACTTTAAAGATATGGCAAGGCTCCAACATTTTAATATAACAATCTCTATACTACACAAGATTACGTACCATTCAGCAATAACTCCCATACCAGCACACTTCTACATAGAGTATAATAAGAATGATGGCATAAAACATAAGAAAATACCCTGCTTTCACGTATAGTAGTAGTAAACTTTATTCAGTGTTTGAGAAATAGTAATAAATACAAAGTGATGCACGAGAAACTCTTCTAATACAAAATGTTAGCAACACAGCGTGAATCAAGGATTATAAATGTACAAGTCACACAAACATTTGTAATAAAACAATGGCATGTGAAATAAGAACGTGTTCATTACCTGAAATTGTTAATGATACAACAAATTTCTCACATTAGCATGGTAATAAGGTATTTTTTTTCCCACAACAGCACCATTTCCAGACCTAGGTTGAGAAGCCAGGTTAGACTCAGGCCTAGCCATCATAATCACAACATCTGATCTGAGAGAATATAATTGCCTTTATCAAATAAGACAGGAGCAAACTAAGCACCCGGTGACTGTCACACATGATAAGAGATATTCAGCTGAACAGATCACAGATGTCATGACAAGCTTTTCTAAAACTTATTAACCCCGTTTTATGTACAAGTCAGAAGGGCTACTTGATTTCACAGTAAGAGGATTTGAACGTATTAGATGATAACTGAAAAATATGTTTAATAGATTACAGTTACAAATACAATTTCCGAGCATTAAGTAGTGTGGCATTAGATTAAACCGAAATATGATTTACACGTGTACAACATATAGCAACAGAGAACAAAATACAAATAACTTTCTGCCAAATGTTAACAACAAAAATGTACACCTTTAAACATCTTGATTTTTTTTTTTATTAATTTTTTAAAGCTCACCAAAAATGTAAAGATAAACATATATCAGTTATTTTTGTCTGAAACTGAATTTCATTTCTGTTACTTCACCTGATTAGAACACAACCTTGTACAATAAAACGTCACCTACAGCTCTAACTTTTATGTATAGTTCAAGATACAGACATTAAATTCAACTTGGGATGAAAGAAAGAAAGCTTGTGAAAGTAACAAAGTACACTAGTGTAAAATAAAAAAAAAACGTTACCAAGAAGTTGGACTAACTATATTGATGTCAGAATTAGAAAATAAATATTTTTTCCTAGTAATCGAAGGAGCAGAAGTTTTGCGGACACGACTGTCACTTTCCAGGTTCTCCACTCTCGGAGTGTCTGCCTTTGGTAACAGGGGTCCATCAGGTGCCTCCTTAACTGGTGACAAGGGAGCATTGTAGACAGTGGTATTTTTCCCATGGGAAGTGACAGTGGATGACAACCACCTGGAATTCCAGCTCTGGTCACAAGCCAATGCAGGATTGGCTTGCAGGGCACTCTCCTTTACCTTACGAGATATTGATGGGGAGCTGCATGGCGTAGCATTAGGAGTGGACTCTGCTGAAGCACTGGAGCTGCAAGAATGGGAATGATAAAGTTTGTCGTCAACAGAGGGCGCTTTCAAGACAGGACCTGAAACCGATAGATCCAGCTTGGGAGGTTCTTTAAACATGGTAGGCTTTATCATAGAAAAAGAAACCTGGAGTGTATCTTTGGAAGAATTGTCTGTAGAAATGTCCTGATGTCCTGCAAAATAGGATGACAGTCCTGTTTATGACAACTATTAGCTATATAGCAATGACAAATAAACAATTCAGCGAAAGAAGTTTTTCCTTCTTTGATAAATGGAACAGATTATTTAAAAAATTAATTTTAATAAAACAAATGCACATGTTATATTTAAACAAACATTAGACAAAATCCAAGTAAGTCTCCTTTAACAGGGTGTAATTTAAATGGATGACATAAACCAGAAGGTAGGAAAAAAAAAAAAGGCTTTCATACAATTAT